TTCAGTGAGACCCAAGGAAGGAAATGATACGGCTTACTCGGGGGTACACACACCAGAATGATTTCCCAAGGGAGAGAGAGAGAAAGAAAAGGTTAGGTCATGAAGAGATAGGCAGACTAAGAGACTGGAGTTAACAAATTCATCCATTCATTTACTCATTCATTCATTCAATAAAGGTTTCTTGAGTGCCTGCTACGTGCCTCTCAATACTTGCACTAACTCCTGTGGGGTCTGGAACAGGTGTAGAAATGGAACTCACATACCATATGTCTAAATATTTAAAAGTGGCAAATCAAGCCAAAGATGTGTTAAGATATGTTCTATTTTTCTACTCCAACAGAGATGTGTTCAAAATAGCAAAATAAAAATATTGTTTTTATATCACAAAGTTCAGAAAATATCAAGATAACCAAATTTGATTATTGCAGATATCTGAATGTACTTTGATGGTCTTGAAATATTTAAATGGGTGGTAAAGACACATAATTCATAAAATATTATGTATTTACTCCATAAAATTTCTTTTCTTATGCCTTTATTTCATTTTTTGTAATTGAGAATTCACATAATTTGTGTTTTGTTGACGGTGCTGACAAAGGAGTACAAAAACATATAGTTATACTCAAAACATGCAGAATTTATATGCATGTAATGTAAAATGTAAATGTACATATGTATAATTTTTCAATTAAAATTATTTTTCATGTTTGCTTTTAAAAAGTTACTCTACTAAAAACTTTAAAATTTTCTATTAAGATAAAATTATAATTGGTAAATATCAAATATCTAAATCATCTCAGTATATCTGAGACTTTATTTTTGAAATGTAACTAAATTTCATTAACTTTCTTTTTTTTTAGAGAAAATGTGGGAGTGGAGGGGGAATGGGTAGGGGCAGAGGGAGAGGGAGAGAAAATCTCAAGCAGGCTCCTAGCTCAGCACGGAGTCCAATGCAAGGCTCGTTCTCATGACCCTGAGATGGTGACCTGAGGCGAAATCCAGAGTCAGATGTTCAGCCAACTGAGCAACCCAGGCACCCCTGTTTGTTTATTTATTTAAATAACCTCTACACCCAACGTGGGGCTCAAACCCACAACCCCAGGATCAAGAGGCGCATGCTCCACACTGAGCCAGCCAGGCACCCCCAACCTTGCAGTTCTTATGTTTCTTACTATGCATATGCATATTTTAAAGGAATATGAATTAATATTGCAAAGGGTTCCTCAGACTTAATGTATAACTGTTATGAATTCCATGCTAATTTGCAAGGACTTTCAGAACCACAGGCAAGAACGTAATTAGAATCAGGAAGATGGACACTTGAGTTTTTGGAAACTACACTTGCCATAATTGACTCAGGGAGGTTAAGAAATCTGTTCAAATAATAGATTATATGAGAATCTATTACATCCCAGGTATTTGAAAAGGATTTGGCTAATTAGTCTTTCCCAGCCACAGTATTCTGGGGCTCGCACTGTGCCTGCCTCTCCGAGGGAGTAGCACAGCACAGAGACACTGCCACCATGTGTTTCCAGGCCACAGACAAGAGGTGTGGGGAAGCGTTTACCTTTGGTTAGCTTGGATAGTACGTGCATCAGGTTAATGAAAGAATTTGCCTTAGCTTCCTGTGATGGTTTTATCAAACAAGAATGTGTCAAAAGAACAATATACAACTCCTTGAACACTTGAATCAGGCTATGCAGAGCCTTCAGTAGACTAATTGTCCGGTGGTTGATTTTGTGTAACATAGGCTGGTAAAACTAATCTTGAGAATCTCTCCTCTCAGTAAAGGCTTTTATGTCACTAGCTCAGCTTGAAAAAGCCAGCTAATTATTGTGCTGGGAAATGAAAGACGTCATTTTCAGAGGAGGTAGTATCTCTGCCCACAGACTATCCAAAACGTAGATTAGTAAGTATCATTTAGTTAAACGAAAATATAGTCCAGTTAAATGTCATGCTGCACTGTTAAGTAGAATATCACATGTAAATGAGGAGGCGACTTGGTTAGATCGGTGACTTTGATAATGTTAGGTGATCAGCAGTGTCATTTTTTATATGGTATGAAATTCCTGCATGGGGCCAACTCTGCTGCAGCCCATGGAGGGGATCCCACAGTTATCACAGGTAAAGCAACTCTCCGAGAAATCTCAGAATTTGGGAATAAGTTCTGTGGACAGCCCATGCATTTTCCTTCTCTCTTGCTACTTGATCTAGTTGCTTTACTGATGACCTGCTTGGGAAGCTAGGGAAGGAAAATTTGAAACAATAAGTCTTGTAATCACAGTTGCTGTTTTTTTGAGGACTGAGTGCCAGGCATTGAGCTAAGTAGTTCATATTCATTGTTTCATTTAGTCCCCGCTAAATGAGGATAAAGCACAATATTACTGTATTTGTAAGACATGGGTGGAAAAATTGACTCAGGGAGGTTAAGAAATTTGTTCAAGATCAAATAGCAGAACCTGGATTCAATCCAAGTCAGTTTTACAGCAAAGCTTGGGCTCTCGTGCATGTGCTATACCCTGTTGCTCCCAGCATGTGTATTTGGGGGGCACGCAGGGAACATAATAAAATTAGGCTAAGGGTAGCAAATGAAAACCACAATGAAGTACCACCTACTAGGATGACTATAATAAAAAGATTTTTAAATTAAAAATAAAATGAAGGGCAGCCTGGGTGGCTCAGTGGTTTAGCGCTGCCTTCAGCCAAGGGCTAGATCCTGGAGACCTGGGATCGAGTCCCACATCGGGTTCCCTGCATGGAGCCTGCTTCTCCTTCTGCTTGTGTCTTTGCCTTTCTCTCACTCTCTGTCTCTCTGTCTCTCATGAATAAATAAATAAAATCTTTAAAAAAATAATAAAATGGAAAAATAACAAGTGCTAGCATGGAAGTTGGAATCCTTATACATTGCTAGTGGGGATACAAGATGGTGCAGCTGCCATAGAAAATAGTCTGAACATTCCTCAAAGAGCAAAACAGATTACCATACAATGCAGCAATCTCACTCCAAGGTATACACTAAAGAGAACTGAAAACATGCTTACTCAAAAGTGTACACACAAATGTTCAGAGCAGCATTATTCATAGTAATCAAACACCAGAATAATTCAAATGTCCATCACCCAATGAATGGATAGACAACACGAGGACATCCATGTGAAATTATTCTAAGTGAAAGAAGCCACTACATGAGTCTATGGATATGGAATATCCAGAAGTGACAAATTCATAGAGATAGAAGGCAGATTAGTGGTTCTCCGGGGCCAAGTGGGGGTGCTCTGGGGAGTGACTGCTCATGGGTATCTTTTGGGAGTGATGAGAATATTCTGGAATTCTGTACTAATGATAGTTTCACGACATAGTGAATATACTAAAATTCACTGAAATATATACTTTAAAATAGTGAAATTTATGTTATGTGAAAAAAAAAAAGAAATTTATGTTATGTGAGGTATATGTTAATTTTTTCAAAGGCGACTTCAGGCCCCAGAGGTCCTTGAATACTAGGCTATAAGATCTGGGTCTCCTTTAGAGACAACAGGGAGCTGCTGAAAGTTTCTTTCTTTCTTTTTTTTTTTTTTAAGATTTCAAGATTTTTTAAAGATTTATTTACTTGTGAGAGACACACAGAGAGAGGCAGAGACATAGGCAGAGGGAGAAGCAGGCTCCATGCAGGGAGCTCGATGCAGGACTCGATCCTGGGATCACGACCTGAGCCAAAGGCAGACGCTCAACCACTGAGCCACTCAGGGACCCCCCGTTGAAAGTTTCTAAGGAGGGTGGTGGCACGACAGGAGTCATGGAAATACGTAAAGTACTTGGCACATAGCAAGTGTTTAATAAACAATAGCTCTTTCCTCCCCTTTCTCCCTCCCCCAATTTGACACTAAGCCCCCATGTCTCCTGGAGGAAAATAGCTCTTTTTTGTTTGGATCCTAACAGAAAACCTTCTGTTTTAGTTGAAACCACTCTTGCTATAGTTTTCCTGGTTCACTTCCTGGGGGTTCCTAGCCTCTGGCTGCTGGACAGGTTCACCCTAGAGCATCTTCCTCCTCTTCCTCCCTCTTCCTCACCACATCTTCCTCCTCTCCTCCAGCACTTTCTCTTCTTCCTCTTTTTTTTAATTTTTAAAAAAGTTTTTATTTATTTATTTAAGTAATCTCTACACCCAACATGGGGCTTGAACTCATAACTCTTGAGATCAAGAGTCACATGCTCTTCTGGCTAAGCCAGCCAGGCACTCTTTCTTCCTTTAAAAAAAATTTTGAAAGAATGGTTTTCTAAAAAACTGTCATAGATTTTTAACTTCACCCAAAAATCATTCACCAGATAAGTTCTATACCTTCCTTATCTCCACTTTTCTTCATTTCTCCCTCCTTCTTCCCCCATCTCACCCCTACAGCAAGGAACTCAGCAGAAAAGAATCAGGTTGCCCTGGGTTCTAATCCTGGCTCCCCATCCTGCTGATTATCTGGCTACACTCATAGGCTCAATGCTCTCATTTGCATAATGCTGTTCTAATAATAATGATTGTATCAACTCCTGGGGTTCTTTTGAGGATGGTATTCATTAAAGAGCTTATGTGATGCCTGGTACATCCGCACCCTCAGTGAATTATGGCTGGAGCATCACTTACTATACAGGTAGGGTGTCAGGCATGGCAAAAGCCCTGATATTTATTTAGAAATGGATATCATCCCTTGAATCTCTATGTGTAGGATGCATTAAAGGCTTTGACATGGAGGACTACTTTAAGTGACAACACTCTTCCCAAAGTAATCTGAAAGATGTCCTAACAGTAGATAGCAGCTTCCAAGAAATGGTTTGAAGTGCCATTATCAAGGGGGGACGGGGGCTTTAGGGGATTTTAGGGTCAGCAAACATCAAATGAGTGAACTCACAGAGTTTGGCGGGGATTTCCCACGAGGCCCCGCCCCCGGCTGAGTCACCAAACCCCTGGGTTTGACCTGCAGCCCAGCTCAGCAGCAGAACCTCACTGCTCTTGAAGATCAAGGAGTGGAAAGTTCTTCACCAGCCCTGAGATCTTAAGGTTTGTTCCTTTGGGGCAGCTGGGGGGAATGGAGTTGGGGCGAGGATAGAAGCTTTATTCCCTTTCTCCATGTCTAGACTTTTTGCCTTCCAATTTCTAATAACTTTTATTCCATAGCCTATTAAATAAAGCTCAAGTACCTGGTCAAAAAACATTTCTTACTTCTTAGTTTTGTTACTTTATGAGCTTTAAATCTCAAAATGGGCAAATGTATGTCTGTTAAGAAAATGTGATAATGTTTTGAGTAGAGCGGTGCTTCAACATTTTAGCAATTGGGTGTTGAAATTTTCACATATTGTTCCGATAAACGAGAAAGAGCGATAATGAGCTATTTCCCCACTGAGCTGAACTGTTGGATAAGGACGGACAGGTTGTCATTTTAAGAACTCTATCTCAGAGGCAGGAAACTGCTGGCATTGTTGAAATCTGGATGCTGATGCTAAGTGTCTATGAAAGTCCCCAAAAATTCTTGTTATTGTTATTTCTGCATTTTGGCAAAACATGTTGGAAAGCGCACTCTTAGCCTTTGGCAAATCTGCACAAAACTATATGTGTAGTCATGCTTTACTATCATAGAAGTGTCTGTGCATTTGCCACCTTTCCCATAATATTCCATCATTAATTGTTTCTGAAAAACCCTGAGTTATGGTCTTGTAGAATTGCATGGGCAGTGGTTGAAATATAGATAATCCTAAAAAGGAGAAACTATCTCATTCTTGGAAATTTTTACCTTTTGCAGAGTGGTATTTGTGAGACCAGCTACTTTGATTAAAATTCTTTTAGGATCTGCTTTGGACGTATCCTATTTATGCAAGATTTCATCATGGGCAGTGGCTATTACAACATAGTGGCTACCGTGTTGTTGGTCATGAATTTTGAGAGGACAAGATCCATGCAGGATTCATGTAGTAAATGCCCAGCTGGTAAGAACCAAATTAACATGTGTGTTTCATCTGTTCTGTTGAACATATGATTCATTAGTCTGGTAGCCAGGGTTAATGAGTTCTGTTTCAATGATCTTTTTATTCATTCATTTTGAAATATTTCTCAGATGCTACATCTTAACTGTATGAATGTAGCCATGTTTTCTTTCTATCGGTTTATTTGTTGTAATATCTATACCTTGTAATTCTGTGACTGTGCTAAGGGCAGTTTTGCAAATGTATAATTTTAAAAAGTCAATCAAAATAAAATGTAAAATGTGCCACCTAGAAACTGATCATTGTTTCATACTATAGTTTTCGTGTGAACTTCATAATACCTAGGGTGATGACTGTGCATTGTCAACCACATACGCCTATTATCTACCTTCTTAGGTACTTTCTGTGGGAAAAACAAGAGTCAGATCTGCATTCCTTGTCCTCCAAATAGTTTCTCCAGCACCAGTGGACAAAAGGCCTGTGACATTTGCAGGCAGTGTGAAGGTATGCTTTAAAAGATGCATATTGATCTGGACATATTGGGAAGACAGGTTTTTATTCCCTAGTGTATTGATCTTTGTGGAAAGTATCAAGTGTTAAATATGCTGTTTCCTCTGTCAAAAGGCAGGTCCAGTACAATAATTTGCTATAAAAGCAATAATTTGTAGATTGAGCTTTTGAATATCAGAGATATTTTGACAAGAGACAAGCTTTTAACTAGGAAAATGTGAAAATGTCTTCTATAGAGATTTATTTATTTATTTTTAAAGATTTTATTGATTTATTCATGAGAGGCACACAGAGAGAGGCAAAGACACAGAGGGAGAAGCAGACTCCTCAAGGGGAGCCCGATGTGGGACTCGATCCCAGGACCCCGGGATCATGACCTGAGCCCAAGGCAGATGCCCAACCACTGAGCCACCCAGGCGTCCTTTCTATAGAAATTTAAAAATGAGCTTTATACTTTTAAGGTCATTAGGAACATTATAAGAGTGCACATGGTTTTCATGGGGTTTTTTTAAATTATGATTTTTATTGCAGAATATAAACTTGCTTCCTGAATTCAGAGGTCAAGTGTAATATAACTTGGGGAATTTTGTAGGTGTTTTCAGGACCAAGAAGGTGTGTTCCCCCATCAGCAATGCGGAGTGTGAGTGCATCTCAGGATTCCACTGCTTGGGGGCAGGATGCACTATGTGTGAACAGGATTGTAAACAAGGTCAAGAATTAACCAAACAGGGTAGGTTTGTTCTTCTTCAATCCAGGTCAAGTTTGTTGATCTAGACATATGCCATTAGTTTAAGTCTTGGTCCTTTGAATATAAAGTAAAATATAGATGGGTAGCACCTTAAAAATCACCACTGAGTCACATATATGATATTTACAAAATTATTTTTCAGTCAGTGGAAATAATTTGAAGTCACATTTGTTATTCACCAGGGTCATGCATTTGCATACATTACATATATATATACATATATATATAGTGCGTGTGTATGTATATATATATATATACATACACACACAATAGTCTATGTACAGTTAGAATAAAAATATTAATTGTCTTGGGATTTTGTTTCAAGAAGCATTACTGAACAGTCTGTAGATTGTATTAAGTTAATGACTATTATTAGGTAACTATGTTCATCTTAGGAAAACTTATAAATCATGAAAATATTCCTTTTTTTCCCTTTATAACCATTATAGATTCTCTTTATAAATACCATTTATTTGCTATATGACATTCCACTTGGGTGACTAAGTCCTTCCCTTTTAAAAATGTTTTTATTTAAATTCAATTAATTAACATATAATGTATTATTGGTTTCCAAGATAGAGTTCAGTGATTTCATCAGTCTTTTTTTTTTTTTTTTTGATTCATCAGTCTTATACAACACCCAGTGCTCATTACATCATCTGCCCTCCTTAATGTCCATCACCCAGTTACCTTGTCCCCACATTACCCTCCCCTCCAGCGACCCTCAGTTTATTTCCTATGATTAAGAGTCTCTTATGGTTTGTCTCCCTCCTTGATTTCATCTTTATTTTTTCCTCTCTTCCCCTATGATCCTCTGTTTTGTTTCTTAAATTCCACATGTAACTGAGGTCTGATATGAGGATTGGCACCCCAGCTTCCTTTCAATGTCCATTAGCATGATAAATGGTTTTCCACCCCCTCACTTTCAGTCTGGAGGTGTCTTTGGGTCTAAAATGAGTCTCTTGCAGATAGCATATCTATGGGTCTTGCTTTTTTATCCAATCTGATACCTTGTGTCTTTCGATTGGAGCATTTAGACCATTTACATTCACAGTAGCTATTGAAAGATATGAATTAGTGCCATTGTATTACCTGTAAAGTTACTATAAAGTTACTGTTTCTGTTTGTTGTCTCAGCTCCTTTCTGGTCTAAATATTCCCTTTTTAATTATTGCTTTAATTTTTTTGTAGGTTGTAAAGACTGCCGCTTTGGGACATTTAATGATCAGAAACATGGCATCTGTCAACCCTGGACAAAGTATGTATAATTTCATTTTGCTTTCAAAATAAAGGATCTCAGTTAACCTTTTAAAACAAAGAATGTTATAATTGAAACTTAAAAAAATCTATCAAGTATCCTGGGGAACCTGGCTGGTGCAGTTTTTGGAACAATCCAGGGTCTTGATCTCAGGATCATGAGTTCAAGTCCCACATGCACGTGCAGCCTACTTAAAAAGCCTATCAAGTATAGGCATAGAAGAGAATACAAATAGGCAGCATTACCTACAAATAGGTAATAATTATTTGATACACAAAGTACGCATTTTCTACAGAAATAATGCCCAGAGCATTTAGCTCAGATGGCTGGAACTTTGTTACTGTCTGCCCCAGCTGTTCTGTTCTGTTTCCTTCCAATCTCTTTGCTGCCTCTTACCTTTCCTTACTGATCAATCAGCCCATCTTCAAGAGTGAAATGCCACAGCACTGAGAATGATACAAGAAGGGTAAAATATGTTTCCTACCCTCAAAAACATAACACCTACTTGGGCAAACAAGCCCACCACAGAAGTAAAATAGCCAACAGCATACATGGGAATTTGTCTGTTGACTTGTGTAATCAGGATCAGAGCTACTCAGAGTGTGGTCTGCGGATGGGTGCTAGCCCATGGACAGTTTGTGGTGCTCATAGCAAAAACACTACACACACTAAAAGTGAGTGTTTAGAAACGTTTAAGTCAATTGACAGTGGTGTGCCTGTCAACTCTAATAAAAATGGAGGTCTTGTATTTTGTATGCCTTTGTTCTTTTTTTTTCATTTGATTTTCTTACTAGAAAATCATTTTTATTATTATTTTACATTAAAATTCTTAGGTTTTACAAAAATATTGGTTGGTACACATTGGTAAGTTTTTTTAAGGTCTTTCAACACAAATAGTTTAGAGAAGTCAATGAGTCTGCATGGAAAGCAGGATTAAATTGGTTTTGGAAGAAGAGTGGGTTTGCATTAGATAAAGGGATGAAGGAAAAGATATAGGACAATGATGATGGTGATGATGATGATGATGATGATAGCTACCATTTATTGGAATGTATGTGTCTGGGTTCATAAAATCCAGCCCCTGCAAGTGTGTCTCTGGGATCATTCATCTGCTCTTCACAACAGTGCTGGCAGTATGTATACCTTATTTTACAGGTGAGAAAATAGGCTTAGAGAGATTTTCTTAACTTTCCCATGGTCATTCTGCACAGGGACAGACCCAGGGCTCAAACCCTAGTATGTCTGAGGCCAACATGTCATAGGGTTAAGAACTCCTAACCCCTTATATATGCCAGAGATAGTCAAATATGCTTAAGAAATTAAGGGTGAGAGACTAACCAGGCAAAACAGTCTGGGGACAGTTGTGGGACAAGGCTCCCCAGCTGGGAAGAAAGAAGAACCCAGTTAGGTCAGTAGAACAGGGTGAATTATGGAGAACTGTGAACGCTGGAGGAAGCCAGCCAGTCAAGTGTATATTTTCCATAATATCTTTATGAACTCGGACCCACACATCTTTGTCACTAGGCTGCATTACTGGATGGAAAATGTCAATATTTTTTATTAGAATGATCTGTACCTAAATTAATTATTTAAATTCTTTTCCTTGGATTTTCTAAGCTGTTCTTTGGATGGCAAGTCCATACTTGTGAATGGGACGAAGGAAAGTGATGCAGTATGTGGACCAGCCTCGGCTGGCTTCTCTCCAGGTACAGCCTCTGCCACCACGTCAGCCCCTGCAAGAGATCCAGGTAGCTGGTTCACTGCTATTAAATCAGAGTGGATGTATTGTGGCTATTCTGATTGTAATCTAATTTGCCTCAATACTGTGACATCTCACATCTCTGCCTAAAACAGGCACCTCCTGCATGCCTTCCTTCTTTTATCCTGGCATCAAGAAACCCATCAATATTTTCCAAATATTTGTCATGCAATCTGAGACATGCATTTGTAAGCAGAGCAAGGTGAGACTTGACCCAGATAAATACTATACCTTTGATAATGTGAAATAAAGGGGATTATAGAGTCCCAGATTTTCTATATTCTAGAGAGGTCAAGCCACTTAAGTTTTGTGGATGTCTAGAAAAATTATTCTAAAAAGGTTTTCCGATATGCAGGCAAGTGTATTAAGTTAGCTGGTTGGAGATGACCAAGGCACTGCTTCTCCTTGTGATCAGGGGTTTACCAATGTAACTATAAATATAAATATACTTGCAAAACTGAATATCTGCATGCATTTCTCCTTTTGCTCTTTTTTAAAGGTCATACCTCCCAGATCATCACCTTCTTTCTCGCACTGATGTCAGTTGCCGTGCTGTTCCTGGTGTTCTTTCTCATCTTCCATTTCTCTGTCATTAAACATGGCAGAAAGAAACTCCTGTATTTATTCAAACAACGTAAGATCAATATAAACATATTCGATGCGAGCTCTTTTGAGGCAAGGCTTTTTACAGTACAAAGGAAAAGATTCTTTTTTTTTGTTAGGATAGCACAGTGGTTATCAAGGAGGGGCAATTTTGCCCTGAAGGGGACATTTGGTAATGTCTGGAGACAGTTTTGGTGGTCACAACCTTGGGGGTGTGGAAGGTATCTAGAAAAGAGTCAGAGATGCTGCTAAAATTCTATAATGCACAGGAAAACAATTATCGTCCTAAGCTCTCACAAAACCTCTGATTTAAAGAATTATCCTTCCCACCTTCACCCCCACCTACAATGAAAATGCTTTGCAAGAGTAATGATGAGTAATTAGTGAGCTGCAATGAAAATGTAATCCATTTTTAAAAATTTTAGGCTATTTAAAAAAACTTTCTATTTTGAAATAATTATAGGTTTATAGGAAGTTGTAAAAACAGCACAGAAAAGTCTCATGTGTCATTCATGTCATACTTCTTCTGCACAGTATGAAGACCAGGCAGTTGACATTGGCATGTTGTGTGTGTATAGCTGTATGTCATTTGATCACATGTATAGTAGATTGGTGTAACCTCCAGCACAACCAATACAGATGTATTCCCTCACCACCGGGATCGTACTCCTGCTGGTCCTTTGTGGTCACATCCACTCCCTCCCAGCAGCCACAAGTCTGTTTCCCACTTCTACACTTCTGTCACTTCGAGGATGTTATATAGATAGAAGCATGCAATGTGTAAGAGGATTACAAGGGTGTGACCTTTTCAGATTGGTTTTTTTCACTGTCAGCTTAGTGCCACTGAGATCCATCCAAGGCATGATGTGCTTCAACAATGGGGTTTTGTTGTTTGTTTGTTTGTTTGTTTGTTTGTTTTTTAAATTTTATTTATTCATGAGAGATACAGAAAGAGGGAGAGGCAGAGACACAGGCAGAAGGAGAAGCAGGCTCCATGCAGCGAGCCTGATGTGGGATTCGAGCCCGGAACTCCGGGATCACGCCCTGGGCTGAAGGCAGGTGCTAACCTGCTGAGCAGGGATCCCTGTTTGTTTTTTTAATTGCTGACCAGCATCCGTGGCATCATTGAACCTCACCGTTCACCAAATAAGGGACATTTGGGTTGTTTCTAGTTTTTAACTATGAAGCCTTTGTGATTTTATTTATTTATTTGAGAGAGAGAAAGAAAGAGCATGCATGCACATGAGTGGGGGGAGGGCAGAGGGTGAAGGAGAGAGAATCTCAGGCAGACTGTACATTGAGCCCTGAGCTGGATGCAAGGCTTGATCTCGCAAGCATGAGATAATGACCTGAGCTGAAACCAAGAGTCAGGTGCTTAACCAACTGACTCACTCAGGTGCCCACATTTTATATTTGAAGTGAATTTCTTATAGACAACATATAATGGTCACTCTACTAATCTCCATCTTTAATTGGTGCATTTAAACCATGTATTATTTAATGTAATTACTTATATGTTAAGGCTTAAGATACTATTTTATTTTTTGCTTTCTGTTTGCTTTCTCTGGTTTTCATTTCTCTGCATTCCTAGGATTATTTGAACATTTTTTTAGTAATCCACTTTGACTTGACTATACTTTTTTTTTTTAAATGTAGCTCTTGGTATAGCTCTTGTAATGGCTGCTTTTGTTATTATAGATAATTTATCCATCTACTAAGTATCAACATTATAACACTTTGAATAAGGTATGAAATATTACTTCCCTTTGTGTCCTTTAACTGCCCCTAATTTATAATACAAATACCTTCAATATTACCACTACATACTTTGAGAATTATATTAGACACTGTTATAATTTTTGCTTCACTGTCAAACATAATTTGGAAAACTCAAGGGAAGGAAAATTTATTGTATCTACCCATATATTTGTTCATTCCTTTTTTCTTTATTCCTTCTTGATGTTCCAAGATTCTTTCTTTTATCATTTCTCTTCTATATAGAGAATTTCCTTTAGCTATTGTTTTAGGATAGACCTCCTGGTCTCCTTCTGGTGACAATTCTCTTAGCTTTTCATCTGAGAATATCTTTTTTTTTTAATTTTTATTTATTTATGATAGTCACACAGAGAGAGAGAGAGGCAGAGACACAGGCAGAGGGAGAAGCAGGCTCCATGCACCGGGAGCCCGACGTGGGATTCGATCCTGGGTCTCCAGGATCGCGCCCTGGGCCAAAGGCAGGCGCCAAACTGCTGCGCCACCCGGGGATCCCTCATCTGAGAATATCTTGATTTCCTCTTCATTCCTGAAAGATATTTTCACCAGGTATTGAATTTGGGCTTTCAGGGGTTGTCATCAACCCTTCTGGTTAGACAGGGCTGGAAGACATTTTCCACTTCAGGTGGAGTTGTAATTTAACTCTTTGCCTGGGCATGGGCAAATCACACTCTATAGCAGGCAAAACTCCTTGTTTGAGGATCTGAATCAGGCAGATTTTACCTCCTCAACTTCCCTGGTCAAGTTGAGCCTTCCACTTTGTTCTGTGGATAAACAAAGCTACTGGTTGGGATTGCTATTTGGACTCTGCAAGTATGTACTCAGTCTGCCAAGATCTGTGTGCTGGTTGCTGCAAACTCCTCTTGCTTCTCCACCACAGTCAGAATCCTGGTGGTGGGCCCTACAGATTCCCTTGCCATCCCTGTGGTGTGAGATCAGAATAGGAGCCCCTGTAAAGTGACTCCAATACTGGGAGAAAATGGTGGTTACCTTGAGGTTCTCTTTTCCCACTGGAGGAACCAGAGGCTTAGCGAGACCTATTGGTGTGGTGGTCTGCAGCAGGGGCAATGTGGTCAACGTAACTGCTTCTCTTACCCTCCTAATACAATCTGTTGTGGTCTCTGTGCTGCAAAGGTAGGGATGCTGCAGTTTCATCCCCATGTTCTAGGGTCTATCAGTGGAGTCTTGTTCTTAAATGGTTGTTAGTTGTTCTTCTTATGAAGGAGACCAAAGTCAGGAGCAAACTGTGTTGCCATCTTGTGATGTCACTCCCTTTGGTTATTTATTTATTTATTTTTATAGTAAGAAACATGTAATATCAAGGCAGGCCCTTTTGCTTTGTTGGGCTATTTTAAAAAATCTGTTTAAGATGAAAAGTTGCTCAGGGTTGGGTGGCTCAGTTGGTTACACATCTGACTCTTGTTTTTGGCTCAGGTCATGATCTCAGGGTGCTGGGATCAGGCCTGCACTGGGCTCCATAATTGTCCCTCTCCTTCTGCTCCCTCATCCCACTTGCATGGATGCTCTCTCTCTATTTCAAATAAATAAATACAATCTTTAAAAAAAAGATGGAAAGTTGCTCAGCAGTAACATAAATACTTCACATTAACATGTAAAAGAAAACAAGGAAGCTAATGCACAAATCAGTTCTTTAATTGCTGGTCAATGGAAGTAGTGGGAGTATCTTTAATATCTTGGTGCCAGAAGCATTTCATTTAAAAGAAACTGTCTGGTGTGTAATCTGAGTAACCCTCTAGACTAAAATATATACTGTTTAATTGAAACTATGGTTATGTTTGGGATATGACTAATTTTGTACTATGGTGATTCATGCTCAAGTTTTTAGCCATTGTAGAAAATAAAGAAAATCATTTTTCAGGACCAATAAGAGTCATTGGTAAGAAGAAATTGTAAATAATCCTGAGAAAAACCTCCTACTTGCTGTCATCTCTCTTACTGATGAACTTGTTCAAATTAGAGTTGAGCATCGTTGCTACTTAGAGATGTTCTGTGACTGTGATTTATGGAAACTGAATATTAAATGGTTAAAACAAACAATGAAAGATAAGTTGCTTTTAAATTACTTTTCAGCATTTATGAGACAAGTACAAACTGCCCAAGAGGAAGATGCCTGTAGTTGCCGATTTCCAGAAGAAGAAGAAGGAGAATGTGACCTGTAAAGCAGAAATCTAAAACTCCACTGGGACTGTCTTGAGAAGAATCAAGAGAGAAAGTTGAATGATCCCACCATTATATCTTTCTAAATTGAAAAACATCATCCTAGATAAGACTCAGGATTATCCCCAAGTTTTCTTGAAATGCTTATAGGTTGGCCTTTAAAAACATACCCCTTTTAGTGCATGAATGGAACAGAGCAGATGGGAAAGGGGTATTTTCCAGATAATGCTAAATAAGCTTCAGCAAGTTTGCTTTTGAAATCCAAAGAGAATGATACTTAAAATTACATCATTTAGGCCAATGATCCAGTTAAAATGATAATCAAAAATCAATTCTGTTTTTTTTTGTGCGTATGCTAATTTAACATATAACAAAAAGCCATAAGATGCAGGAAATACTCTCAACCAAATTTTCCATTAGTTCAGATATTCAATACAATGAGCTCTATTGATGTGAGGGGTGGAGGAGTTATGACAGTGCCCAAATTTGAGGTCAAGGGAAAAATATCTCAGACCTTGAGGAAGAGTTTTGGAAAGCATTCCTGTGTCTTTGCACATTTTGTGGTCCCTCTATCTTTGTGTCTTTTACTTTTATGCTGCTCTTCTTAGAACCAGGGCTTATGTTTTGTTTTGTTGTTGTTGTTTAAAATTTTATTTATTTATTATTGAAGTATAATTAGCACAAAGTGTTGTGTTAATTTCAGGTGTATAGCATAGTGGCCCCACAATTCTGTACATTACTCAGTGCTCACCATGATAAGTGTTGTCCCCATCTGTCACATTACAATGTTATTACAGTACTATAGACTGTACTCCCAATACGATACTTTTCATCTCTGTGACTTATTTATTTTATAATTAGAAGTTTGTGTCTCTTAGTCCTCTTCATCTCTTTTGCCCATTAAAAAAATTGGCTTATCTGTTTTTAATTCTTAAGAACATTAAAAATAATCTCTGATAAATGGAACAGGTAGGAATGAACAATCCCATGAACCCATAGCCCAACCGGAGTACTAAAGCAGGAGTGCTTAAATTCCCATGGGCCAAATCTGAGGGGTCGTGTGCCTTTGTAGGGTTTATGAGCTAAAAATCATTTCTACATGTTTAAATAATTAAAAACAAATGAAAATAAGAGTAATATGTCACGATTTGAAAACGTATGCCAAATTCAAATTTCAGAGTCTGTAAATAAAGTTTTATTGGAACACACAGTCACAGTCAGAACAAATGGTTTTGCATTATAACAGCAGAGTTGAGTAGAGACAAGAGACTGTATCTCTGTATCTCACAAAGCCTAAAATATTTCACATCTGAGCCTTTGTAGGGTAATAGTCAAGGTCAGAGTGTCCATCTGTGTGTTACTTCCCTCCCTCATCTTCTGCCTAATTCCCCACCTTGCCCCCAGGCACCCTCTTTCAGGACCATCAATTCAATCCATTCCTTTGCTTAAAAAAAAAAAAATCATTGCTGCTATATTTATGTACCCCAAAGCTATGTTAGTTTTGCTTGTTTTTGAGCTTTAAAAAAATGATATTGTGCTGCATGTGACTTGCTTTAATCACTCAAAATCCTATTGATAAGACTTGTTCACGTTATTGTGTGTAACTAGAATGCATCCTTTTGATGATTGTATAATTTTGCAAATATACCATAATTTATCAATCCACTCTGAACCAAAGGACATTTGAGTTGTTTCCAGGTTTTTTTTTTTTTTTTTTTTTTTTTTTTTACAGTTATAGACAATGTTGGTATGAAGGTTCTTTTGTGTGTGTTCTGTGGAAGAGTGTCTCTAGGGAATTTTCCTTAGAGTGAAATTTCTGGATCTTAGGGCATATGAATGTTCAACCTTTTGATCTAAGTTATGCAGAAATAACAAACAATAGTCCTTACCCTCCCCACCTTCTCCACTCCCAAATCTTAATGGATCACAGCAAAACAGCAGAGATGCATTTCTTTTGGTCATCACAGGCCAATGGCAAGCTGGCCATGGCTTCGCCCCACATTGTTTCACTCAGATATAGGTGGAGGGAGAAGATTCTACTTGGAACGTTGGTCATCTGATGGCAAAGAGGGTACTGGCCACTTTGCTCAGAGAGGATTGGTTAGGTTCTAACCTTTAGAGCAAGTCATACAGTGAAGCTGTGCATCAACAGAGCAGAGGGGAAAAAAAAAAAACAGAGCAGAAGGCATAATCTTCACACAGGGAGGACCAGAAAATATGTCTGTACCATAAGAAGTCGGCTCTGGTGCTGAACTGCTTTTCAGAGCAGTGGTCCTAAGTCATGCTCCTATCAGCCTCACTGAATCCCATCCTTGCTACCCTCTGGGATTGTCAGACCCTTAATTTTGCCCATTTAGTGGGTATAAGAGGGTATCTCACTGTGGTCTCATTTTGCATTTCCTGAATTACTAATGAGCATCTTGTTACATGTTTTTATATCATTTGTGTTTCTTTTTGTGAAATGCTTGCTCATGTTCCTGCTCATTAAAAAAAAAAAATTTACTTATTTATTTGAAAGAAAGAAGGCATTCATGGAGGGGCAAAAGGGAGGGAAAGGAGAAAGAGAATCCTCAAGAAGACTCTCCACCGAGTACAGAGCCCATTCATCTCAAGACCACAAGATCATGACCTGAGCCGAAATCAAAAGCCAGACACTTAACCAAATGAGCTGCCCATGTGCTCCATTTTTTGCTCATTTTTAAAAACTTGGTTGTCTTTTCCTTACTGTTCATAGTTCTTCATATATTCTAGATAATAATCTTGGACACTTGTATGTAATATAAATATCTGCTTTGTTTGTAATGTTTTCCTCATTTACATTGTGGCTTTTCAGTCTTTCTAGTAATAAGCCAAAAAATAATCTTACTTTAATTTGATTAAGTTTAAAGCTCATTTCTTTTTTTTAAGATTTTATTTATTTATTCATGAGAGACACACAGAGAGAGGCAGAAACATAGGCAGAGACAGAAGGAGGGACTTGATCCCAGGATTCTGGGATCACTGAGCCAAAACCAGACACTAAACCACTGAGCTATCCAGGTGCCCCTACAGCTCATTTCTTATACAGTTAACACTTTTTTGTTTGCTGATTAAAGAAGCCCCTCCCTACCCCAGTATCATATACTTCCTTACCTTTTTTTTTCTGAAAGTTTTAAGAGTCTATATAAGTCTAAGCAATCAAGAACTGGTTATTGTGTATGTTGTGAGGTCATGTGCAACTTTGAGTTCTGTGCGTGGATCATCACTAGACCCAGTACCATTTATTCCATGGTCCATCTTTTCCCCAAGGATCTGCACTACCACCTCTGCCCTTCACAGATTTTCCACATGTCTGAGCATCTGTTCCTGGGTTCTCTACTCTGTTCCGTTGGTAAAGGAGTCTGTCTCCACGCAAATACCACATTATTTACTGTAGCTTTATAAAAGCTCTCTTGATACCTAATAGGACAAGTATTTAATGTCCAACAAAGTTTTATAAAGTTTCTCCAGAAACTTTGTTTTTACATCTTTTATCAGACTTATTTCTAGGTACCTTGCTTTGTGTTTGCTTCTTATTTTAGAATTTTATTATTTATTTATTTATTTATTTATTTATTTATTTATTTATTTATTTTTAAAAGCAGGCTCCATGTTCAACGTGGGGCTTGAACTCACAACCCTGAGATCAAGAGTTGTTCACTCTATTGACTGAGCCAACCAGGCCTCCCTATGTTTGCTTTTTAGGTGGTTTTGTTTGTTGTCAGAGTATAAAGATGTAGTTGATTTGCTTATATTGGTTTATAGCCAGCTTCCTTTCTAAACTTATTATTTCTGATAGTACATATTCTTTGGGGTTTTCTGTACAGATAATCATGTTATTTGCAATAATAATGGTTTCTTCTTTTCCTAATCCTTTGTCTTTTATGTCTTTTCTGCTTGATTTAGTGCTGGATCTTGCAGTACAATGTACTAGTCTTTTTTATGGGGGATAACTTATTTATGGGGGATATTTTCAGGACTTTTTTTTGGTAAATATACTTGATCAAGTTAAGTTCCCTTCTGCTTTTGGCTTGTGAAGAGGGCTAGTTTTTATTTTTAAATCATGAATGTGTTTTGAATTTTACCAAATGATTTTTTCTGGGAGAGAAAAGAATAATTTGCCTATGACTCAGCCAGTTGTCCTATCATCTTTGATTTGGATCTGAATTTCAGCCACATTCCAAGAAAATCACTACCTGAAAGAAATTTAATGTAATAATAGGTATTTCTGTTTTTCCCCCCTTCTTTAAAAGATGCATTTTTAAAAAATGCTTTGGTGTATGATGTAATTATATATGCTCAAAAAATTGTTGTTTTATTTTAAATAGATAAAGTACCTTCATTTGTCTTTGAATCTTGAGGATTACCAGTGCCATTTCAGGAACAAGGCTGGAGTACAAATTCTAGAGTGGCATCCCTTCTCAGCTTTGGACACAGGGTGTATAACTCTCTGTTGTCCATTATCCACATACACAAAGGGATTGGTCAGGCTCTCCCATCTTGGGTCCCCCTCTATAACTCAACTAAACTTATCTGTCCCAGATTAGAAACACAGAAAATAAACAAATAGTTTATTGTGTTTATTACACAGCCTGTATGATACTTTTGTCATAGAATATTTTAGTATAATATACAAAACTTAAAAGTGAAAACCACAGGAACTTAGGGTAGGAGTCATTTCCCCCCTAAATAACAGTTAACAAAGAAAGAAAATCAAGACAGAATATTATGATTCCTTTTGGGGGTTAATTTAGGAATCCAATAGTTAAATTTGATAGAAATGAGTGTACCTTTTTACAAAAATAAGTGAGCATATTTAGGGATGTGCATATTGGAAACATTTTTCTAAATACTTAAAAACAAGCTTAAGTTACTTCTGAAACACGTTTTTATTTTCTTTTCTGTTGGAAGGTATCATTCTGATGGAAACTTTTGATATGAGGGGCACATGGCTGCTAAAGTGGGTGTCTTTCTTCTGTGCAGAGCACACCTTTCCA